CTTTTGTCTTCTTGACTTGCTCTAATTCTGTACCGAATGGAATGCCGTAGAGTTTGAGCATTTGGACTGGACCCATCACAAAGTTGAGATACACAGGCAGGCCAGCCATTGCCGTCCAACAGACAGTAGATGTTATTATATCTTTCCTCTCTTTCGGGAGGAACAAGTCACTGTCCGGGTGAAAATGAGAACCTGTTTTCCCTGGACTCCGGCTCCACTGCATCAAAAAAACACCCCAGATACCATTAGAAAGGTGAAAACTTTCACTAAGATACACAAGTTCTGGGACTATATAGCAAGCAGCAGAAGAAGGCTGACCAAGTAGACAGGGTATGCGAGCATCGGGAAAGGCAGTGTAAACCTCAAGATACGAGTTACTCTGTCCAAATTCTTGTAGATATTCTCAGACAGCTGCAGTTACAGAAACAAAAGCTCTTGTCTAAGAACATCACAGATCTAAAACCAGACGACAACAACAACAACAACAGCCCGGGTTGCTTGTTGGAATGGAGCAACTTACAGGATGCCAAGACTCGTCGTTCTCGACATGACCATGGTTCTGGTGGTGAGTTCTGTGACTGATTCTCCTGCAGACAGTCACATTACATTGGAGATAAGAAGATTTCTAACGATTTCGAGATTGAAGGGTTTTTTTTTTGGTTAATTGAGAGAGGGTTGAAGGCAAACTCACCAGCCATGGTAGGGAACCAGGATTGAGGAATGAAGAAGATGACCCATTACGCTGTTCAGATTCGGGTTATTTGAGAAGCTACCATGTCCACTGCAATTGTATCAATGAAGATTATATTTGTTAATGGAGAAAAGAAGAGTACGTGCAAATAATGGATCTTGTTCTGTTCTGTCTCTTGCAACACCAATAACCAATTGCCACCTACGTTGTATTGTAACACAATTCGTGACCTAGTGTTGGTTAAAGGTACAGATACGAGGTTGCAGATTTTCTTACATCCACATTCATCCAATCAATGAGCAATCTAACCCAAGTTAATCGAGATTAAAGAAGAGATTATCTTAAACAAAGAACCCGAGAGAGAGAGTACCAATCATGGCCAAGAACAAAGAGAGCCCAGAACATGGTTCCTTGAGCAAACCAATAGAGAGGCCAGACGAGCCAGTTGTTCAAGTAAGAAGCCGCAGCAGCCAATCCGAAGACGACGATGACATCTCTCACGACGTAACTCATCGATTTCCACGGATCCTTAACCCAACAATGCTTCGGAATTGCAGCTCTTACGTCCGCCAAATTGAACGGCGGAGCCGCCCCTGGATCGAACCCATCTCCCTCCATCGATCCCTGCGTGTTGTTTGTCTCATGTTCCCCCGACGGAGACTGGATTATAAGCGGTGCGCTAACATTCAGTGCCCAGTTCCTCGTTTTCGAAAACCCATTTGGGGATTTCCGACAAGATGACGGAACTGAATGGTTCGAAGGATGGAGAGGCTGTGGTCTGAATTTGAAGGCGGATACGTTGTTTGAGGTGAAACCGTTTCTGGGTGTGGTGTAGATTCTCGGGAGAGGTCTGATGCCACATTCCGACAAAACCCAGCTCGCCATTGGAGCACCGGAAGAAGCCGATGAGGAATCGAAGAAAAAAGTTTCGTTCTTTCGTAAGAAAGTTTCAGCCTTTCTCTGCCTCTCACTTTTCTCCCTCAGAAATAGAGAGAGAGAGAGAGAGAGAGAGAGAGAGAGAGAAGAGATAATGCAAAGACGTTTCTCCACCACTGAGAGAGAGAGAGAGAGAGAGAGAGAGAGAGAGAGAGAGAGAGAGAGACCTCAAACTTGTGTTGCTTGTTGCTTTGTGTGATATCTCTCTGGTGCACACACAAAATCAACAATTTTGCAATGTGTTCTAGCTTTTGTGGTGAGGTCGTCTATATATATATATATGTGTGTCCTCTGGAACTAGAAGAAAGCCGTAGGAAAGTGGTGTGACATTGGTCGGCAAGGTCTATTTTGACCCAAACACAGCATAACATGTACCTTTTTTTTTTGTTGAAACATAACATGTACTTATATAGTCAAACATGTTGCATATGATGTAATTAAATTATTATAAAACGAAATTAAATACCTTTCCAATTTTTACTGGATTCGACTGCACAAATTTCAGATGGGTGTATAAATTTTATAAAACTAAATTAATACCTTTCTTTCTTTGACTGGATTCGACTAGGGTTGAAATTTCGGTTGGGTATATGAATTATTATAGAGCTCAATTAATACCTTTCTTTTTTTGACTGGACGACCAATGACTTTTGTAAATTAAATAATTGGAATTATAAGTGAATATGAAAACAAACAAAAAAAATCTAAAAAAAAAATAAAAAATTTTAATAAGTAAAAATCAAATTCCAGTTAAATCGAAAAAAATTAGATACGATTTTTTTATAGAATAAAAAATAATCGAAATAACATAAAACATTGAAAAAGCAGAGCGAATTGAAAGGAGAATAAATAATTGAAGATGTGAAAGTGAGTGATGATGACGATTACACAACGAGTCGTGCTTACACATGCAAAAAAAGAACAGAATTTGGAACGGAACTTTGTTTTGATTATTAGGCATGTGTTTCGTGCCTTATGCTGCAAATCCCCTAAAGAAATAGTTTATATGATCCCAAAAGCCAAAAGGAATATGTATTGACTTGAATTATTGTTACAAATTCATTAGAGAAAATATGATTTTGCTGGACCCACTTAAGATAGATTAATGATTCTTTGAAAACTAATCTTTTAAACTATTAAATTACAAATAAATAAAAAATTAAACTAAAGACTGTTTTGCTACTTTCCAAATCAAACAAACATTTAAATCCATGCATTACAAAATGAAAATGAACACACGCACACTCACATCTATACATAATAGTTAAATTTTTTGTTTTATCATATGTTCTTTTAATTTTGGGGTACATTTACATATACATACACACATATATAAACATATATGTATAAGTTTAATTTCCTGTTTTATCATCTTTCTGTGCTTTTTTATATATATATAATGGGGATATATATATAAGTTTATTTTTCTGTTTTATCATCTTCTTGTGCGGTTCTTTTACACGATGATCATTCTCCAATTCACATGGTGGAATAAGATCTAACTTAGACATTACATGCATCCGTTTAAAATGAACGTGACCTAATCTAGCATGCC